AGAAAAAAAAAAAAAAAAAAGACTGTATGACAGAACTATGGTAATCACTTTCCCTTCAATTAAGAAGATTCCACAGATGGACTTCCTACTGGCTGACAGAGTCTTACACAGATCTTTATTGATGGTAATAACTGAACATCTTTTATCACTTTTAATTCTTAATTATATAAAAACAAAAGGCAGTTTTAATCATCTATATGAGTACTTCCCTTCAAAGAATCAATGGGCTTATAATAGTTCAAGAGAAGCTCTAGAGAGATAGTGGTGAAGGCATTCAGGCTGCTAACCAAAAGGTTCGCAGTTACAACTCACCAGCTGCTCCACAGGAGAAAGATGACGCAGTCTGTTCTGTAAAGATTTACAGCCTTGGCAACCCTATGAGACAGTTCTACTCTGTCCTAAAGGTTAACTATGAGTTGGAATTGATTCAATGGCAGTGGCTTTGGTTTTTAAAAACATATCAAAACTAAGTAAAGCATTAAATGTTATACATGAGACTAGAAGTCCATATTTACATGTTAGTATACCTCATCACTCCTACAAGACTATAACCCCTATGGTTAAAGACTATGTCTGTCCTTTCCTCCAGTGACCTACCACAACGTGACAGACTCAACAAATGTTTAATTAATAGTTACTGCTTCTAGCAACTAAAGAAGCACAGAAAACCAGAAATCTTTACTTAAACAGTAGAAAACACCAAAGCTTTTGGAAAATCATTAATTACATTTAAGGGTTTAAAATTATGCCTATACTTTAATATCTACAAAAGTAATGGTAATACTTCTGAAATAAAGACTAGACTAATACAGTAAGATATTTAATAATAAAGGCAGCAAGGGAAAACAACCTCAAGACACCCAAAAGCACTGGACTATGGACTCTGGAGAGGAACTTGAGGAACTTGAACCAACTGCAATTTCTACTTTCCATTCTGGGAATTTTATAAAATCACATTACAAAAAGACAGGCTGATACTGAACTTAGATTCAAATGGTGCTAAGTATTTTAAGATGAATAAACAAAACTTTATCTTTATTTCTAGCTAAGTGATGGATTTCAACTGATAGGTTTCTGTTTGGTTTCTTAATGACCAACAGGATTATGTATACAAAATGATTGTGAGGACCAATACACATGCACACATACACATATATTTACCAAAGCTATGGCAAATAATTTCTAGGTCACAAAAGTTGAGCAATAGTTTACCTGCTCTTGCAAAAAGTAGTTGCACACTTTTTATTTCAACATCAAACTTGTCATATGCCTTGTCCATTATTTCTTCCAGAGATGAACTGGCAGTCTGCTGCAAACCCAGATCTTTACTATTGAGCTACACAGAGAAAAAACTTCATCTTCCACAACAGAAAAATACATACGTCAACATATTTCATTTGTATTCTGTACTTAGTAAAGCCTAACTAAAATGAATACACTGCCCTTAATAGTTTTACATTTTGCTTAATTTTCTGATAATTATTTGCATATATTTTATAAGGTGTATAGTAACTCAGTATACACTTCTATTATATTTGAGTCATAGATGTACAGCACATTTCACTAATCAGGACATCAGTTACTCAACAGTCTGCCCCAAATAACTTATCTTCCTCTTCTTGCTTCTCAGATGTTACTGCCATTTATGGCTTAGCTCTCCTATTCATCCTCAATAGTTCACCACGGAATAACAGTTTTGTGACTTCTTTTCCCCACAACATCACTAGAATAATTGATGTTGTTATTTGTTAGGTACCATCCAGTCAGCTCAGCCTCATAGCACCCTGTGTACAACAGAACAAAACACTGCCCAATCTGAGCCAGCCTCCCAATCATTGCTGTGTTTGAGCCCACTGTTGTAGCACTGTGTCAATCCATCTCACTGAGGGTCTTCCTCTTTCAGGATGACCTTCTACAAGCATGATGTCCTTCTCCAGGGACTGGTCTTCAGGATAACACACCCAAAGTACATGAGATGAAGTCTCACTATGCTCATTTCTAAAGAATATTCTGGCTATACTTCTTCTGAGGCAGATTTATTCCTTCCTCTGGCAGTCCATGGTATACTCCATATTCTTCCCCATCACCATAATTCAAAGGCATTAATTCTACGGTCTTCCTTATTCATTGTCCAACTTTCACACGCATATGAGGTAAATGAAAATACTATAGCTTGGGTCAGATGGACCTTAGTCCTCAAAGTGACAACTTTGTTTTTTAACACTTTAAAGAAGTTTTCTGCAGCAGATCTGCCTAATCAAATACAAGTCTGCTGCCATTCTAAGTTAGGCTTGGCAACAAACTAAGAAGAAATAAGCCAAGGTTTAGTGTAAGTGAACTCTGAGGGGCAAGCATCAAACTACCAGATACTTGGCTATCAAGCTACACAAAGATGGGCAGACAGAAATGTGTATATACCTACCTGAAAGGTACCAAAATCTAAAATGAGAAGAGTTGAGTTTTCATGATAAAAACCTGTCTGTGGAACTATCAGATAAGAAGGCTTCAGATTTATCCTTAAATCAAGGACTTTTCGAGTTTCAATTATATGTGTGAGTCCTAAAAGAGGTAAAGAAATAGTGAAAGATTAGATGGTCAAGTTGAAATATGCAATTAAATTACTGACCACAAGAATGAAAATACCACTTGAAAAATATTATGGAGGAGTCTCAGTTCTTCTCACAGATTAGATTCTCAATCTAGCATGCAAGATGAGTTATATATGGTCAAAATTATCCTTAAAAATTCTTTCGGGAAACAATCATATCATGATACAGTACAGTAAATACAACACAGCTAATATTTTATCCAGAGGTGGAAGAATTATTTCTTTGATTAAGTAACCAGATAAAAGCAGTTGCTTGAGTTTAGAGGCCATGTTGCATGAATATATGTATTTCTAAAATTAGTTTCACACACCATATGGTGAACAGTTTCTCAAAAACAGAGACAGAGCAATGTTTTCCATCTCAAATTTACTCTAAGGCACAGGCTCACCGAATGGAATGTCAGGAAGAATAATCTATGCTCCACGCTTCTTCACCCAGCCTAGCAAGTATGTTAGACTTTGGGTAAGCCATATACACACAATTCAACTCCACTTATAATACAGTCAGAATTTAAAATAAAGAAAAAGATCAACCTGCAGTATCTTAAATACAATGTTGACATTCAAACAGGCAAAATTTTGAGAGTCTGGCTGATGCTCTAGAGCCCTGATGGTGAAATGGTTAAAATGCTTGGTGGCTAACCAAAAGACCAGAAGGGTACAACTCACCAGCCACCCTGTGGGAGAAAGATGTGGCAATCTAACTTTTAACGATTTACAGCCTTGGAAACCTATGGACAATTTTATTCTACTCTACAGGGTCTCTCTGAGTCAGAAGTGACTCAACAGCTATAGGGTTTGGTTTTAGTTTGGTTGATGCTTATGTAAACATTTTAATTCCTTACCTGTAGCTGTTCTCTCTTTAATTTCTTCCAGTTTCATCAACGTAGCTGACGTTATTTGCTCAAGATCTAACCCCTTGTTTGATTGAAAGAATTCAACCACTGCATTAATGGTTTTCTGTAAAGGAATTTTAAAGTATAGCCAAGATATATACTGTACTTTCTATATTATATATTTTAAGGTTATACCTCAATTCTAAATAATATAGTTTTGACCTGAAGAAATATTACCCTGCACCATGAAAGAAAACTTGGAAAAAGGAATAGCCCAAGTAAGCTTACTGAAGAGGTACAAATGTGTCCGTATTACTAGGGTGACCAGAAGTATGTTCTATAGAGTCATGATAATACAGCAATGAACAGACATTAGTTCTAGCTTTTGCTTCCAATTAGTCTGAGGGTGAAACTCCACTTCTCTACACTGCAATTAGATTCCCCAACACTTTGAACTTTAGAAAGGGAATAGGAGGAAAGCTCTTCAGCAATTTACCTATCTCCAAGCCTCGACCTTAAGAAAATCAGAGAATACAACTAATTCTGAAGTCTTTATATACTGCCTCCCACCCATACCCTGAATCCACCCATATATTGTAAACTGAAAATAAGTCAGGGATCACTGGAACAGGGTAGGGCCAATCTACAAGTGACAAGTGACACAATGAGAAATAGATCAAGGCCACCCTGATGGCTAGCTTGAGATGAGAGTTAAGACAGCCTGAAGGTGAAGCCACAGATACAGAACCTGAACCCCCATGTTCAAAATATCTAAATGTCAATTTATTTATTTTTTTTACCACAAGAAGAGAATTTAAAGTTCTTTTCATTATTCCTAAAGTTTTTTTAATTAACTCCAAACACTGAAGAGAAAGGAAGAATAAGCAAAAAGGAACTGGAGTAGGAAGTTACTTTAAGACTATCTGAGAGCAGGACAATAAAAACTGATAGTTTTTACAGGATAACTGGGTTTGTTGTTGTTGTTGTTGTTGTTTTTTTCCCAATCTAAAATAAGCATGGAAAAATAAACTCTGTGGTATAAAAAAGTCCATAGCATATTAAAATTCAAAATTAACTGCTAAACATCTACTGCTTTTGAAACAAGAAAAACCTATTGTAAACTAGCTGCTAAGTAAATAAATGTTAAATGTGAAAGAGGAAAAATAAAAGACCATACTTCAGAATTATAAGATGGCTTTAATAAGTATCTACCTTCTATTTCTACTTACAGCATCATAGATGACTTCCACAGGCTGAGACTGAACAACCAGAGTCTGGTCAGCAGGACTATTCTCTGGATTGGTTTCAAACTCAATTTTAAGCAAAGATGATGCAGTATCACCAATTGAAGCCACAAGTGATGGTATAATATTTTGCTGTCTCAGACCTGTTATATACCAGTGTTCTAATTTTGCTTCTACCCTACAGTAAAGAAAAAACAGTTACAAGATCCTTTGAAATGTAATAAGCTAAAATGCAAATTTTTCTTTAAAAACTTTGAGATCCAGAATTACGCCCATTACCCAAGGCTGAAGTACAAACACCTTAGCTCTGGATTCAATTATCCTCATAATTGTTTTTTATTTGTTTCATTTTATTAACTCTTCCTCATCTACTTAAAAAACCCACTATATCTGACTCCAGAATGCTATAGACATTCCAATCACTGTTACATGAATTCATCTGTACTTTACTCATGGGACTCATTTCCCTATCTCCATGTCATCTTAACACCCTCCTACCACATCCCAGCTTTTCCATTCTTCAACAACTAGCCTAAACTTCAGTTCTCCTAGCCCAAATTAGTATCCTCCATAACTGAGCTTGTGCAGCATTAACTGTAAGGTATTTAATGCTACAGCACTTCTCATCTACGAATAGAGCTCTGGTGAACTATGGTCAAAGCACTGGACTGCTAACCAAAAGGTCTGTAGTTCAAACCCACCAGCTGCTCCACAGGAGAAAGATGAGGCAGTCTGCTTCCATAAAGATTTACATCTATGAGCTACTATGTTACACCGATGTTGTTGTTATTTTCAGGTGCCTGTCAAGTCGATCCTGACTTGCTGTCACACCATATGGCAGAGTAGAACTGCCCACAGGGCTTTCTAGGTTGTAATCTTTATGAGAACAGATCACCAAGTCTTTCTCCTGTGGAGCCACTAGGTGGGTTCAAACTGCCAACTTTCCAGTTAGCAGTTGTTGCACCACCAGGGCTCCTTCTAAAATGTTATACACTTCTTGAGTTAACATATTGTATATTTACTTTATCAACCACAGTATAAACGTCTTGAAAGCAGAAGTTTAATGTATTTATGTATAGATTTCATAGTATCAAGCCTATACATTAAACAGCATCCAATAAATATTTGTTAAAGAATGAAGAGAAGGTGGAACAAATAATGAGTTCCTCTCAAAGTTCCATAACAAAACAAAAGCAAATATAAAAAAGATGATCTTGGCATATAGAAGATGAAAGAAATTCTAGAAAAACTATTAATAATTAGGTAAAACACACACAAGAAAGTGTGTCTTTTAAACCATTTTCAAGTGTACAATTCAGCAACATTAATTATATTCACCATATTGTGCAATCATCACCACTATTCATTTCCAAAGGTTTTTAATCACCTTAAACAGAAACTTACTGCTTCTTCAGTTATAACTCCCGTTCTTCCTTGCCTTTAGCCTGTGATAATCACAACAAACTTCTGTGTCTATGCCTTTGCTTATTCTCAAAAACACTAAACACACTGCCTTCGAGTCAGATCTGACTCATAGCGACCCCTCCTTGGGTTTCTGAAGCAGTATCACTACGGAAGCAGATTGTCCAACCTTCCTTCCAAGGAGTGGCTGGTGGGTTTGAACCACCAGCCTTCTGGTTAGCAGTCAAATGCCTTAGGCACTAGATATTTCATATAAATGGGATCATGCAATACTTGTCCTTCTGCATCTGATTTACTTCATTCAATGTAATGTTTACAAGTTTCATCCATATTGTACGAGATTTTTAAATGTTGTTGTTGTTATGTGCCATGAAGTCGGCCCCAACTCATAGCGATCCCTCCTTGGGTTTCCAAGGCAGTATCACTACAGAAGTAGGACTGCCCAATCTTCCTTCTGAGGAGTGGCTGGTGGGTTTGAACCGCCAGCCTTCTGGTTAGCAGTCAAGTGCCTTAGGCACTATACCACCAGAGCTCCTTACATTTTTAAATAATGAGTAACATTCTATATTTTTTGGCCTAAAATCATGACTAGAAATAAAAATTAATATAGTAAGTTTTTAAATACTAACCTAAGCGCTTGTGCTCCTGGTCGCTGAGATACTTGCGTTCCTAAGCCAATTATCTGAATTTTTAGTATTTCTGGAACATTTTCTTTTTCTCTTATTGTAACAGAGGTGCTCAGTAACTTTAGTGTCATTATATGGGCAACATACTACACAGAAAGAAAGGAAAAAAATTGTTAGAGTTAATTACTACTTTATTAAATGATTATTTCTTACTAAACTGTTTGAATGATAAAGTAATCTAATAGCATGGTAGGTTCAGGCATCAATGTATTTATTTTAAATAAACATTAGAAAATTTAATAAAAAGTTGCAGGCACAAATATGACATTTACAAAAGATTGAAAATTCATATTTTTTAGTTTTAAAGTCACTAACAGTGAGGCATTAACAAAATCGCTTGTGGCATAAAGACAAAATTCAGCTTTCACTAAAGCAAACTAATTAATTCAGATCAGTTGTCAGGCTAAAGGAAGAAAATCTGGATAAAATATAAAGAACATTTACTTGATGGCTTGGGGTAATTAACAAGATACTAGGAAAAAAGTCTGACCCAAAAATTGTTGGGTCAAAATTGGAGATAAGGTGAGGACAGGGAGATGACCTGGGATTTGGGAGTTAGTTCCCTTACAGAGGGGCAGCTGGAGGTGCTGTGGTTAAGGCACTGGGCTGCTAAGCAAAAGGTTAGTGGTTGGAACTCATCAGCCAGTTGTAAGAGAAAGATGAGGCAATCTGCTTCCTTAAAGATTTGTAGCTCTTGAATGATCAGGTATTTCTAGGCAAAAGGGAATATACCTATGACCATATATAAGGATGGCAGATGATATTTCTACATATGTATTTGTATGTGCTATAAGAATGTCCATATAAACAGAGCAGGGGGCAAAATTATAACTTCTTAGCCACAGCTATCCTATCTACCCTGTGGGAAAGAGTTGTTGGACCTATGGGATCAGGACCACAGTCATGGGGGATATCAAGCTCATCTGGCATAACATACTACACAAAACATTGTTCTACATCCTACTGTCATGAGTAGCAACTAGGGTCTTAAAAGCTTGCAAGTGGCCATCTAGATACAGTAACTGGTCTTTCCACATCTGAAGCAAAGAAAAATGAGAAAAAGCAAAGAAAAATGAAGAAAACCAAAGACTCATGGAAACAATTAATCCAAGGGACTAGTGTACCATGTGAACTCAGCCTATTTAATCATGAGACCAAAAGATCTAAATGGTGCCTGGCTACCAGTCAACCACTTGGAAAGGAATCAGTGCAGGAGATCCTGGATAGAGTGGCAGAGGAATCTGGAAAAAACTCAAAAATAATAAGAAAGACCAGGCTTACTGGTCTGACAGAGAAGGTGAAACCTCCAAGACTAGGGCCCCTAGTAGCAGTTCAGGTAGAAATTGAACTCACTCCCATGGCTTTCAGCCAAACAACAGACATGCATGTAAGGTGAACATTTACACCAACCAGGTACATTCTGTAGAACCATCACGCATGGGAGATAAGAAGAAGGGCAATATTTGCACAGGGAGATACCTCAGAAGGCAGGAATGCATAGGAAAGGAAGACACAGAGAAAAGGTAACTATAGGGAGGAAGTGAGAAGAGAACTGTTACATCGTGGGGATTGCAATCAATGTCATAAAACAAAATATGTATGACCTGCTGTATGGAAAACGAATTTTCTCTGTAAACTTCCTCCAAAATCACAATTAAACAAAACAAAAAGATGGATAGCCTTGAAAATTCCATGGGGCTTGCTATGTGTTGGAATCTACTCAATGGCAGTGGGATGGAGCCTAACAGCTATGAAATTAGGCTAGCAGGACTGGAATTTTTTAACAGGTCCCATCAAAGAGTAGCAGCATGATAAATTCCCCACATTTTTTGTTGGGATCCCAAAGGGCTATATCATAGGAGTAAAGGGGAACTTGAAATAGGCAGACTCCAATACTGTATACCATAACTTCAAATTCTATCAGTCCTTAAAATAAGATCAATCTGGTGAGTACTAGTGGCACAAACAACTTGAAAATGAAAATAAAGTATCTTTCTGTAGTAAAACATCCACCTCCTCAGAAACAAGTTATTTCCTATGTGTCTAAAAATAGAAAACTTCCATATGTTGTAAAAACAATGTGCACCCTGTGCATATGCACTTAAACATACATAAATACCAGGATCATGGGGATTCGAGGCAAATTAGAATAAAAACCAGCATAAAAAACAAAACAGAAGCAAAATCACAGGTACTCCAGACACTATTAAACACAAATTTTAAAAATATTATATGCTTATAAATTTCAAGCAGATAAAAGAGAAAATTGGCTTTACTGGAAAGAATAAAAAAGAATGAAATGAAATTCTAGAACTTGTAATACAAAAACAAATTAATACCAAAACAAAGAGGTTTAATAGTAAAACAGAAAATATTAGAGAGTTGTTGTTGTTGTTATTTGCCATCGAGTCGGCCCCGACTCATAGCCACCCAATGAGGGGTTTCCAAGGCAGTATCACTACAGAAGTAGGAATGCCCAACCTTCCTTCCGAGGAGTGGCTGGTGGGTTTGAACCATCAGCCTTCGGATTTAGAGAGTTAGTTAATTGAAATATAAATCAGAGGAAAATATACAAAATGAAAAATGAGTAGGAAAAAAGACTTGGTAATACAGAGCAGAGAACAAAAGAAACATGAGATAGGATGAAAAAGTTCAACTATCTATACATATTAGAAGTCTCCAAAAAAGAAGGGTAAGAAAATGAGGCAGAAACAAAATTTAAAGTAATAATGGCTGATAATTTTTCTCAAACTGATGAGACCTAAAGATGCTCAAAGAAGTCAAAATGGTATAAACAAAACAAATCCACACCTTAACACATGATAGTGATACTACTGAAAACTTACAAAGAAAATATTAAAAATAGAAAAAGAATAGAGGTGGTGGAAATTACCTTCAAAGTCACATAATAAAGTTAACAGCTGAACACAGACAGAATGTAGGTCAAACAAAAATGGAATATCTTCAAAAATCTGAGCAAAACTAATTAACAATCTAAAACTCTTTATACTGAAAAAAATCTCCCTCAAGAAAAAAGACAAAGTTAAGACATTAGAAAAGAAAAAATTAAGAGAATTTCTCACCAGCAGATAAGCATAAATGAAACTAATAAAGGACATGCTTCAGGAATGAAAATAATGATAGATGGTCAGAAAATCAGAAAGGAATTAAGTTATTAGACCATTCTGAATTGCTAAAACTACCATTCTCTCAAAAATAAAGATTCAGTGTAATCTATACCAAAATTCCCACAGCCATTTTGAAAATATTCGTCAGATGATTCTGAAATTTTATGTAAGTGCAAAGGATCTAAAACAGTCAAAACACTCTTTAAAAGTTAAGTCCAAATTGTGACTTCAAGACCTTTATAAAGCTGTAATAATCAAGGTGAAAGGATCAAAGTAAGAATAGATAATTCAATGAAACAGATGAAGACTCAAAAAAATAACACTCACTTATACAGAATGAATTAATTTTCAAACAAGGGGGCAAGTCAATTAAACAAGGGAGAAAAACAAATCTCTTAACAAATGGTGCTCAAATATTCTTATGGAAAAAAAAGAAAAAAACCTTGAACACTACATCACTCCATATGCAAAAATTAATTCAATACAGATACTAGACCTAAACTGAAAATTGCAGTTCTTCTAGAAATTAAAAGAAAATATAAAAGAATATCTTTGTGATTTTGACATAGGCAAAAGTTTTTGGAACAGGTCACATAAGCACTAAACATTAAAAAAAAATTGACAGAACTCATCAAAATTTAACATTTTTTTCTAATTAAAAAAAACACTAAAAAATTAAAAATCTACAGATTGAGAAAATTATGAGAGATATATATACATATACACATATATACATACATACATATATACATGTGTGAATTTATTTACTTATTATTTGTATTTAGATATGTTGTTATAGGTGCCATTAAGTTGGTTGGTTAAGAATCATATTAAACTTATGTATAATAGTAAAAAATGTTGCCCAGTCCTGCACCATTCTCACAAGCACTGGTTGCTGTTTCGGCCCATTGTTGCCAGCACTGTGTCAATCCACCTCTTTGAGGGTCATCCTCTTTTTTGCTGACCTTCTACTTTACCAACCACGATATCCTTCTCCAGAGATTGGTTCCTCCTGATAATATGACCAATGTAAGCAAGACAAAGTCTCGTCATCCTTCTAAGGAGCATTCTGGCCGTATTTTTCCAAGATAGGGTTGTTCATTCTTCTGGCAGTCCATGCTATATTCAATATCCTTCCCCAACACCAAAATTCAAATGCATCTTTCATTTGTATACCTTTCACATGCATTTTGTTGTTTTCAGGTGCCATCAAGTTGGCTCCAACTCGTAGTGACCCTATGTACAAAAGAACAAAAGAATGGCTACTCATGTGCCATCCTCACAATCTTTGATATACCCAAGCCCATCACTGTAGCCACTGTGTCAATCCATCTCATTGAGGGTCTTCCTCTTTTTTGCTGACCCTCCACTTTTACCAAGAGTGGTATCTTTCTCCAGGTAATGGTCCCTTCTGACAATGTGACCAAAGGAGGTGAGATGAATTCCGGCCGTTCTCGCTTCCAAGGACCATTCTGGCTGCACTTCTTCCAAGACAGATTTGTTCATTCTCTTGTCAGTCCATGGTGTTTTCAGTATTCTTCACCAACACCACAATTCAAAAGCATCTACTCTTCTTCATCTTCCTTATCTACTGTCCAGCTTTCTCATGCATATGAGGTGATTGAAAAATACCATGCTTGGGTTAGGGGCACCTTAGTCTTCAAAGAGACATCTTTGTCTCTTAACACTTTAAAGAGGTCTTTTGCAGCACATTTGGCCAGTTCAATAAAGTGTCTGATTTCTTGACCACTGCTTTCACGGCTGCCAACTGTGGATCCAAGTAAAACGAAATCTTTGACAACTTTAATCTTTTCTCCATTGGTACAGTTGTGAGGATTTCATTTTATGTTGAGGTGTAATACATACTGCAGACTGTAGTCTTTAATCTTCATCAGTAAATGCTTCAAGTCCTCTTCGCTTTCAGCAAGCAAGGTTGTGTCATCTGCACATTGCAGGTTGTTAATGAGTCTTCCTACAATCCTGATGTCACATTCTTCTTCATATAGTCCAGTCTCTTGGATTATTTGCTCATCATACAGACTGAATAAGTATGGTGAAAGTATACAACCCTGACCCACACCCTTCCTGATTTTAAACCATGTGGCATCTCCTTGTTATGTTCAAATGATAGCCACCTGGTCTAGGTACAGGTTCCTCACGAGCACGGTTAAGCATTCTGTAATTTCCATTCTTCCCAATATTATCCATAATTTGTTATGACCCACACAGTCGAATGCCTATCCATAGTCAATAAAACACAAGCAAACATCTTTCTGGTATTCTCTGCTTTCAGCCAAGATCCACCTGACATCAAAATTGATATCCCTTGCTCCACATCCTGTCCTGAATCCAGCTTGAATTTCTGGTAGTTCCCAGTCAATGTACTGCTGCTCTAAGCATTTTTCAGTTACCTTCAGCAAAATTTTACTTGGCATGTGATAATAACAATAAAGCAAAAAAAAAAAAAAACCAAAAAACCTGCTGCTAGAGAGTCAATTCTGACTCATAGCAATTCCCTTTGGGTTTGGAAGGCAGTAAGATTTTATGGAAGTAGGTTGCCCAGTCTTCCGTCTGCAGAGTGACTGGTGGGTGTGAACCACCAGCCTTCTGATTAGTAGTCAAATACCTTGTTGTTGTTGTTCTGTACCTTAGGGTCAAACCCGACTCATAGTGACCCCTCCTTGGGTTTCCGAGGCAGTATCACTATGGAAGTAGATTGCCCAACCTTCCTCCCAAGGAGTGGCTGGTGGGTTTGAACCACCAGCCTTCTGGTTAGCAGTCAAGTGCCTTAGGCACCATGCTACCAGTCAAATGCCTTAGGCACTGCAAAATTTCCACATTCTCTTGGATCACTTTTCTTTGGAATGGGCACAAATATGGATCTCTTCCAGTTGGTTGGCCAGGTAGCTGTCTTCCAAATTTCTTAGCATAGATAAGGGATAACATGCAGCACTGAAGGTGATTCTTCAAACATCTCAATTGATATTCCCCTTAATTCCTGGAGACGTTTTTCTCCAACGCCTTCAATGCAGTTTGTATTGTTTCCTTCAGTACCACTGGTTCTTGATCAGATAATACCTCCAGAAATTCCTGAACATCAGCCAATTCTTTTTGCAGCAGTAACTACGTGTTCCTTTCATCTTTTTTTCACACTTACTGCATCATTCCATATTTTGCCCACAGAACCCTTCAATACTGCAACTCAAGGCTTGATTTTTTTTCCTTCAGTTCTTTCAGCTTGAGAGATGTCCAGTATGTTATTCTGTTTTCATTTTCTAATTCCAGGTTTTTGCACATTTCATTATAATACTTACTTTGTCTTCTGAACTGTCCTTTGAAATCTTATGTTCATTTCCTTTACTTCATCATTTCTTTCTTAGCTACTCTACATTCAAGAGCAAGTTTCAGATTCTCTTCTGATATCCATTTTGGTATTTCTTTCTTTCCTTTCTTTTTAATGACTTTCTGCTTTCTTCCTGTACGATGTCCTTGACATCAGCCCACAACGTGTCAGGTCTTTAGTCATCTGTGGTCAATGTATCTAATCTACTCTTCACATGGTCTCTAAATTCATATGGGCTATGCTCAAAGTCATGCTTTGACTCTCATGGACTTGTCTTCATTTTCTTTAGGCTCAACTTAACCTTACGTATGAGCAATTGGTCTGTTCCACAGTTGGCCCATGGCCTTTTGACTGACAATATTCAGCTTCTCCATTATCTCTTTCCACAGATGTAGTCAATTTGATTCCTGTGTATTCCATCCATCAAGGTCCATGTGACCACTTATGTTGCTGAAAAAAAATATTTACAATGAATAATTTGTTGGTCTTGCAAAATTCTATCACATAATCTCCAGCATCATTTTATCACCAATATCCTTTTTTTTTTAACTGCAGATCCTTCTTTGTTTCCAACTTTTGCATTCCAATCACCAGTAACTATTAATGCATCTTGATTGCAAGTCTGATCAATTTCAGAGTGCCAAAGTTGGTAAAAATCTTCAATTTCTTCATCTTTGTCATTAATGGTTGATGCATAAATTCAAATATTAGTCATATTAATTGGTCTTTCTTGTAGAGTATGGATATTATCATATCACTGACAGTGCTATACTCCAGGATAGATCTTGAAATGTTCTTTTTGACAATGAAAGAGACGACATTCAATTTGTCCAACTCAAAATGGCCAATACCAGTCCCTTTCAGTTCACTAATGCCTAGGATATTAATCTTTATTATGCATTGCATATCATTTTTGATGACTTCCAGTTTTCCTGAAGTTATACTTTGTACACTGCACATTCCTATTGTTAACAGATGTTTCTTCTCATTTTGAGTCATGCTACATCAGTAAATGAACATTCCAAAAGATTTATGCTGTCTACATCGCTATGGTCAACTCTACTTTGAGGAGGCAACCCTTCCCCAGTCATACTTTGAGTGTCTTCTGAGGGGCTCATCTCCCAGCACAGATAATCTTCCACTGCTTTTCAAACTATTTTCACCGGCCAACTTTTTTTAGAAATAGATCACAGGCCCTTCCTCCTAGTCTGTCTTAAGTCTTAAAATTCCACTGAAAACTGTCCATGATGGGTGACCCTGCTGCTATTTGAAACACCAATGGCAAAGCTTCTAGCATCGTATCAACACACAAGCTACCACAGTAGGACAAACTGACAAATGAGTGGTGGTCAACATCATTAGTCATGAGGAAAATGCAAATGAAAACTCTAGTGGACTGGCGTATCATTTCCCGTAAAATGGCTAAAATTAAAAAGTCTAACAACACCAAATGTGGCAAGAATGTGGAACAACTGGAATTACTAATGGGAGTAGAAAATATTACAATATTTTTGGGGAATTGTTTGCCAGTGTCTTAAAAAGTTATACATACATCTACCCAATAATGCAGCACTTCCACTCCCAGGTATTTACCCAAAGAAATCAAAGCATATGTCCACAAAAGACTTGTACAAGAATGTTCATAGCAGCCTTACTCCTAATAACCAAACTTGAAACAATGAAAGATATTTATCAACAGGAGAATAGTTAATAAATTGTTGTATACTCAAACAGTGGAATACTACTCATCAATAAAAATGAACAATCACTGATACATGGATGAATATCAAAATTATTACACTGAGAATAAGAAGCTAAAAACAAAAATATATGAACAGGAAAAAGTAGTCTATAGTGACATAAATCATAAAATGATTGCTTTTGGAAGGCAACAACAGAAAAACAACTGGAAAAAGTCACAAGGAAACTTTCTATGGGATGGAAATGTTTTCTATTGTTTTGGGTTGGCATGATACAGATGTATTTAACTGTTCAAATTCATCAAAATGAACCTTAAGATCTGTACATTACATGTAAATTATACCTGAAAAAACTTTTACAGATGCCATTTATAACAAATCCAGTAAAACATGTTCAACTTCTACCCAGAAAACTACAAAACATTATTGAGAGAAATTAAAGAAAGGATAAATGGAGGCACTTACTATATTTATGGATTAGAAGATTATTATAAAGATGCCAACTCTCCCCAAATTGGTTTATAGATTCAACAAAATCCTAATCAAAGTCATGTAAACTAATTCTAAAATTTAAATAGAACTGCAAAGGGTCAAGAATTGATAAGACAATGTTAAAGAAGGGAGTTGGAAGACTTATACAGCTAAATACCAGGATAGCTTACAAAGTTACAGTGTCTAAGACAATATGCTACAGGGACAGACAAAAAGCCAATGTAAGAAAATGAATTCCACAAATATATGAACACTGATGATAAAAGGGTAACTGGAGAGCAACGGGGAAAGGAGAGGCTTTTCAATAATTCAAGCTAAGTCAAAAATAAACCTAAAACCTGATTTCACATCAAATGTAATACATCAATTCCAATGTAAGGATCTAAGTGTGAAAAGTGAAATAATATAAAGCCTCTGGAAAGAGAGTATTTTCATAACCTTATAGTGAGGGAAGATTTTTTAAACAAGGCATAAAAAAGTACCAATCATAAAGGAAAAGATCAATAAATAAAACAACATTAAAAATAAACATTTTAACTGGTAAAATGTGGCAAAAAACATTTAACAAGTAGTATATTAAGTGAAATAGAAATAAGTAACTATTTTTAATTATAGTTACTTAACCAACAATTTGTTCAACTCAATTCAAGATAATAAAATAAAATGGAACAAAATACTTCTTAGTTCTTCTAAATAATTACCTGCTTGGGTAAGGTCAAGTTGTGGGTGCTCTCACTATAACCAATAGCAGTGAAGAGCTTGGCTTTTTCTTCTGGAGTCATAAGGTCATCAATAGCTATGAAAAAAAGACAAAAATATTTTGAGTAATGAATTGCTTCAGTTTAACAGATACAAACTAAAAGTCACACAAAATTAACATATCCTAAAATCAGTAGCTACAAATGCCAAAGCAAAAGTAATCTACTGCTAATATACTACTTTGACTAGTTAAAACAAACATACTGTATTTGCTTGGTGAGAAAAGGCAAAGAGACACTATTAAGGACATTCAGTATCATATAAGGATTTTAGGCATAGTGCGTAAGGCATCTGACAGCTAACTAGAAGGTTGGTGGTCTAAACACACCAGCCACTCTGTGAAAGGAACACTGGGCAATCTACTTTTGTAAAGATTACCGCCTCAGAAACCCAAAGGGGGTCACTGTAAGTCGGAATCAATCCAATGGCAGTGTGTTTGGGTTTTTTTTTTTTTTTGAAGCATTTAAAATACTTATGTATAACTTATAATTAAATATCCATGTAACAGGTAACAGTAAGGAATGCTAAATGTTGAGACACAAGTAATTATTCTCAACAACATCAAAGTTCTATTTTAGTTAAATAAACAGAGAAATACTCCCGCCTAATGTGTTTGTTAGGAGCTCTGGTAGTGTAGTGCCTAAGGCACTTGACTGCTGACCAGAAAGGCTGGTGGTTCAAACCCACCAGCCACTCGTTGGAAGGAAGTTTGGGCTATCTACCTCCATAGTGATACTGCCTCGGAAACCCAAGGAGGGGTCGCTATGAGTCGGGTCCAACTCAACGGCAAATAACAATAACAACAATGTGTATGTTAGGAGCTCTGGTGGCACAGTACCTAAGGCATTTGGCTGTGAAATAAATTTGTAGGGTTTTATATTTCATTTAGCTACCACATTGAGCTATGCAATATATAAAATTTCTATTTCAAAAGTATTCTAAAACGAAATCCAATTAACTGACCAAGATATCATTTATATGGTCTTTCTTCTTATCAGTGTACAACGAATTATTTGACTTGAAACTTACTTTCAGGAATCAAAGATTCTTCATCTTTTTTCTTAGATTCCTTCTTACCCCAAAACCCACTAAACCAGCCTCCACGTTTCTCGCCTGTGTCAGTAGATTTTTTCCTTAATTTTTGCCCAGATCTAATCACCTAAAAAAATAAAATTTTAAAAAATGTAATAAAAGGATAAATAGCTTCTTCTTTTTGGTTAGGCGTAGTTAGGTAAAAGAAATGGTTAATTTTTTATCACTACAAAAATATTCTGGAGGTGGCACTATATTACACATTTTTCTCTTCCATGTGAACTTTTTATCAGCCTGCTATTTTCTATTAAATATCCTTTTGAAGTTAGTACAGGGCCATATCAGAACAGTGAAAAAGAGCTGAACTTTAAATATTCCAGCATTGGGAATAACTGGATAGCCATATAAAAAAGATAAAACAATATCAGTTTATTTCATTGTTTATCAGGATATTTTCAAAATGGATGAGACTTAAGTTAAAAATAAAATCACACAAATAGATGGATTATTAAGAGACAGGTTTGATATGGGTTAAGAGAAAAGCAATATAACAAAAGAGTATGACCGATACCTTATCACTAAGGAAAAGGCCAACATGGAGAGATACATAAGAGGTACAGACAATACTACTGTCTACATAATACTGCATTATCAGTAATATCTAACACTAATCTACAGGCAGATACATAGGCAGACAGGCAAGAAGATCAGGTATGGATAGGCAAATGGGAATATATCCATGACCATACATAGGTTTGGCAGATGATATTCCTACATATGTATATGTATGTGCTTTAAAAATGTCCTTATGCAGTTTAAACATAACAGGAGGCAAAGTTAGGATAACGTCTGAGCCACAAATAAGTACTTCGAGGAAGTGGGTTACTGGGCCTATGGAATGGGGACCATGGTCATGGGGGACATCAAGCTCAACGGGCAGAACATGCTATACAAAAGTACTGTTCTACATCTAAGTGCTCTCTCCTGGTCCAGAGCAAAGAAGAATGAAGAAACTCAAAGATATATGGAAACAATCCAAATGACTAATGCACTATGAAAACTTCAACTTACATGATCCTAAGACCAGAAGAACTAGATAGTGCCTAGCTACCAAGGCCAACCACTCAGAAAGGGATCAAAATTGGAGATCCTGTATAAAGTGGAAGGAAAATGTGGAACAAAACTCATTTTATATCTCTGACTTGTCTTACAACCCACATCTGATCATCTAAAATTACTGGCTCAACCTTCAAATATATCCAGAATCTGACATTTTCTAATCACATTCACTGCAGTTAACCTCAGTTAAGCTACCATCTCTCACCTCAACAACCTAACTGGCTTCCCTGTTTTCACCCTTGTACTTTGCCTTACAGTCTGGTTTCAAAATAGCAGCCACAGTGAGTTTTAAAACTTAAGTCACATCATATTACCACTTACTCAAAATCCATCAACGCTTCCAAATTCCAAGTAAAAGCCAAAATGCACTCAGTGGCTTATAAGATCTGACACAATCTGTCATCCTCCCCAGTTGCATCAAGACCCCCTCCCAGTCTTCTCCTACCCTGTTTATTAACCACCATTATCCCCTTTCTCTCACCATACAAGTTAGCTCCCTGAATGAGCCAGATATGCTTCTGCCCCAAAACCTTTAAGCTTACTACTACTTCTACCTAGTACATTCTGCCCTCAGATGTCTTCATGGGTAACTCCCTCACCTTCTTTGCTCAAATCTTACCTTCTTAGGCAAAAGTTTCCTGAGCACCACCCTATTTAAAACTGCAACATCCATAATCATCATTGACTAGCCTAGACACTTTCTTTCTAGACTCATTCCTACTTTATTTTTTATTTATGTATTTGTTTATTATCCTTCTCTCCTACTAGAAAGTAAAGGACTTTTGTCTGTTTTGTGCATACCTATATCCTCAATGCAAATAATGGTGATGATGATGAAAACAAAGAGGAAGAAGAAAGGAGGACAAAAAGAAGAAGTGGGTGGGAGAAGAGAAATAGGAAGAGGAGGAGAAAGAAGAAATGACTAATTTAGTAATTACTGTGTCAGGCACATAATAATAAAAGTGCTTTACATGAATTATCATTTACCCTTCACAAACCCTACAATGCAAATATTATTAATTAATCTCATTTTACAAATGAGGAGACTGAGAGTCAGAGATGTTAAATAACAGGCCCAAGGTAACACAATTAGTAGAAGGCCAAGCTGGGTTTAGAATCCAGACCATCTGATTGGAGTCCATACACTTAATGCTAGCACAATAGGCACCAATGAGTATCTAATAAATAAATGAATGAATGAGTGCATATGCTTTAATCCCATTTAAAAATACGAATATGTATATGGAAATCTATGGCCAGAGAAAGGGCTAAAATTGTATTCAGCAAGGTTATAACAGTAATTACCTTCAGTAGATAAGAGGTATTTCTATTTTCTTTTTTTGCTGATATATATTTTCCAATTTTTCTTTAATAGATGTTTTAAACTTGTAATTTATTATTTCAGCTACTCAAAATACCACGTTACAGAATAACAGAAAAGACATGGAAAGAAAAGCACAAGGTACCAAGAGAGATAAATAGGCACTTATAAAAGCATTATAAACAGATTAATTCCAATTTTGACAAAAAAGAAAGGGAAGAAGAATGAGAAAGAGAGAGGGATTAGAGAGGAAACAAAAGAAGAGAAAGCAAAAGAAAAGGAGGATAAAAAACATAAACAAGCAGGTATATATGCATGAGGAAAAAAAAGAACTAGGAGCCTATATCCTAAAATCTTAACAGCTGCATTCTAAATTGATTGTATCACAAATGACTTTCATATACTTTCTTTTGGATCTTTTCAAATTGTTTTGTTTTTGTTCCCTTCCTGTTAGTGGCTTTTTGCCAGTGTTCCAGTTTATTTTCTCCTGAGACTGAATTAAGCAATAAAAACGCAACCTTGTTCTCACTTAGGTAAATCTCAGCACCTTCCCAACTGCGAAACTTAGAGTCTTGATCTGAAGTTTAAAGCAGTGGTATTAACATTTAAAATACAAAATCAGCTGCTAAAAATATTACCTCAACTTGTGTTTGCTGCCTTGCCAAAATTATGTTAAAAACATCAAGGCTCTTCTCCAAGTCCTATTAAAAAAAACAAAGAGATACCTGTTAACAAGTAAAATAATTATTAAACAAAAAACAAAACAAAATCCGCTGTCATCGAATCAATTCTGACTCGTAACAACCTCCACTGGATTTCCAAGACTGTACATCTTTACAGAAGGAGATTGCCTCATCTTTCTCCCACAGAGAAGCTGGTAGGTTTGAAATCACCAACCTTCTGGTTAGCAGCCAAATAACTTGGCCATTATGCCACCAGAGTGCCTTAAAATAATCATTACAAAAAAAAAAAAAAAAACCCAAACTCACTGCCGTTGAGTCAGATCCGACTCATAGCGACTCCTCCTTGGGTTTCCGAGGCAATATCACTACACGAGTAGACTGTGAAAAAAATTTTTCTTCTATGATTTTTATGTTTATCAAGTCCATTAACAATACTTGTGATCTAATGAAAGTGTAAGTATACATCTGAATGTATGCTTGGCTTTGAAATTTTTTAATTTTTACAATAAGGAAATATAATTTTATTTTAAAGTAAAGCCTTATTAAGTACAGTATGAAAATAGTAATTTTTCCATAAGACATTATCATTCATAGGTAATATATGTACATGGAAAACAAGAATATTTGCAAAGGAGACTTGTTTCAGGTACTATTCTTATAGTTACTACTTCTGACTCTCCCTAAATTATTTTACAATCATTGTACTAAAAAACCCACTGCCAATGAGTTGATTCCAACTCATAGTTGCCCCCACTGGGCTTTCAAGGCAGTAAATCTTTATGAAGGAGTTCTGGTAGCATAGTGCCTAAGGCACTTGACTGCTAACCAGAAGGCTAGCCATTCAAACCCACCAGCCACTCCTCAGAAGGAAGGTTGGGCAATCTACTTCTGTAGTGATACCGCCTCAGAAACCCAACAAGGGGTCGCTATGAATCAGGTCCGACTCCACAGCACAAAACAACAACCACCACAAATCTTTATGGAAGTATATTGCTCCATCTTCCTTCCACAGAGCAGCTGGTGGGTTTTAAGTGCCAACCTTCTGGTTAGCGGTAAAATACCTTAGGGCTCCTTACTGTACTTAAAACACCATTATGAAGAAAACAGAATTTAAGAATGTAAAATTCTGCAAATCAACAAATAAATCATTTCACTAAAGAAATGATTTGGGGAATTTACATAGAAGTGGGTGCTGCTGGTGGTTGCCATAGAGTCAATTCAGACTCATGAGGGAACCTAACATCTACTGGGTGACTTGTGTGCCAGGTGCTTTATGTGTTATCTCAAGCAATTCTCCCAACTCCATGAGAAAGGTATTAGTTCCATTTTATAAATGAAAACCCTAGACATGAGAGGTTAAGAAACTTGTGTCCATGAGAACATCTGGTAAGTAGCCAAATCAGCACTTAAATCCAAATCCATCTAACTCCAGTACCTATAATTTTCCTAAAATAATACTGGTAGTCACCATATATTTCAGAATAACAGAAATTCAACTCATTTTTCACATTATGAATCAGTTACAGAAATAGTTCTGTAACCCAGATTAAGCAACATTAAGCAAATTATGTATTCAATGTGTATTTTTCTATCTTTTAAAAGGGAGTAACTAACACTTCTCTTATTTGAAGGAGTAAAGCCATTTTCTATAAATAATATTTTGAATGCTTTAAAAAAGCCACTACCATATATAAATATGGGACTTTTACTAATCAAGCAAGTAAGATACATCTAACTAATAATAAAAACACATTTGAACATTTCTGATAACGATTTTCCAAATAATATTACAAAAACCAGACACACTTCCTCAAATAGTTTACAATAATCTCACTCTATCAATTAGGGCCGGGAGGGGGTAGGTTTTTTGAAAGCAGGGGAAAACTGGGAAAAAAAATACTCTCCATTTTCCCCTAAAATTCTCTCTCAAAAAGAGATCACTTCTCTTTTTTCTAAAATTATATTTTGATCCAAATTAAATGCAGGAACCTTCCATCAATATAAGTATTTCATCAGATTTTATAAAAAAGGATGATTAGCCAAATAATTGTCTTCAAAATATACCTGAATTTGCTTTTGTACTTCTTCTGAGACTTTAGTCTGAGTTAACTTGCTTTTGTAGGCATTTTTGTAACTCTTGAGCAACTGTCTGTGCTTTTTTATGTTATTCCATGACCACATCTGGGTATACCTTCTTATATGAACTTCAAGAACAGAATCAATTGCATATTTCCACCTGCAAAACAAATTTTGTTAAAGAACATTTGAATATAAAGGTGAAAGAAAAGACAGGAAAAACACTTTGAATTTTTAGATCTACACAGCAATATTTTTTGTTCTAATTAACTGTCTTCCTGTAAGAGTTCAATAACAGCATTTCAATTCTCAGCACAACTCTCTGACTTACACAGATTGAAATAGGAGTAAACCATTCCAGGAAGAGAACATGACAATAGCAAAATGATAAAAACACAAATTTGCTTGTTGCAGGAAATTAACAGCATTAATATTAATGTTATTAATCAATAACATTGATTCCATGTGGATCACTGAAGGGCAAAAGACTTTTTAAAAAATGTTTCAAAGTCCTGAATGCTAAGTTAAGAATTTGAAACTAACGTAGGAACAAGAATGTAAGAGGTAATGTTTCTGGAAAAAAGTGACATGAGAGTATAAAAGATATCCCTATCTTTTCTGCTTAGAAAAAAAGGTGGCTGGATTAGATGGTTCTAAAGGTCTCTTAACTCTGAGAGTTCCTGGCTAAAAGAGTGTATGTTCCTCATAAAAATAAATAATAAATAAATGAATTCTAACTTACCATTGTCGACAATTATCATGAAGTGGTAAATAAGGTTTGTATTTCCTATAAGGGATATTTCTAACCATATAATCCACTGATTCCAGAAGGTCAATCATACTTAGGTACTATCAAAAGAAAAACAAAATATTTATTACATTGCACACATGATAAACACGAAATATAATTGATTTTCAGTCTAGGGAGACTCTAAATTTCCTTAACAATAAATATCATTGTTGCCTGGTAATAGAATGATATACTTTATTTTATCTAATTTAAGGCACCATTAATTGTAAGTTATAGCATTATTTGTACATTACACTACAAAAGTAAAAGGTACTGTCAATTAAATTGTCATACCACCAATAATAATACATGCTCTATTTTTAAACATGCTTAAATGTGAAGTAAGTATCATCTTAGGAACAATGAAATATGGCCTCTAACTGCTGACATGGAATATACCTGTTTCTAAAGCTATGTAATTTTCCTCCAGATCATTATTACAGCAATAGCTATCTATAAGCTGATTTTCAAATTGCTCCAGAAAATTGCTGCATAACTAAAGCAAGAAAGTTACTTAAGCACCCATCTAGATTGCCAGTAACAAAGTAACTCTATAGATCAGATAAAATAGAAGGTTAAAAAAAAGAAAGAAAAAAAAAACAGCTAATAAGACTGTGGGCAAGAGAAAGAAATATGCAAGTAGAGAATTTCCCCCTCTCTAATTTTTCTTAATGTAATTCTACCTAAGGGTTACCATGTGTCTACTAAGCATTTGAAATGTAGCTAGTCTGAACTTAAATGTAAGTATAAAATAAACCTCTGATACCAAAAATTTAAGTTAAGAAAAAACGATGTAAAATACTTCATGTATTTTACTCTCTCTCTCTCTCTCCCTCACCACTGTCAAGTCAATACCCATCTCACAGCGACTTCTCCTTGGGTTTCCGAGGAGGTATCTCTACAGAAGTAGATTGCCTAATCTTCCTTCCAAGGAAAGGCTGGTGGGTTTGAACTGCCAGGCTTCAATGGCAATATTTTAGACATAGTAGGTTAAATAAAATGTTATTACAATTAATTTCACTTTTCCCTCAATCTTAGTCTATAGTAGCTAGTAGAAAAATTGTAAATTACATATATGACTTGCATTATTTTTTTAATTGGACAGGAATGTCTAGAAGTTCAATTAGCTAAATGGCCTCCCTCCTTTCACTTGCACTTCTCCAAGTCCACTACGCAAACTCTCTGGACTAATAATCAAGCTTGAGAAACAAATAATGGAAAAAAGCTACCAATACAGTTGTTCTAACAATTAGGTAAATATCATTTAATATAAAAGAGTCTACTACTAAAAACAGGAGAAGGAAAAACATACTAAATTCTTCTATCAAAATGGAAATAAAGTTATTCACTACAGTTTGATAAGATACTCCATCATTTAGAAAAAGACCAGATAAAATGAAGGATGTTATTTTTTTTTTTTAATTGAAATGTAATTTATGTACAGTGAGATAAACAAAACTAAAGTGACATGGGTCAATGCATTTTTTTTTTTTTTTTTGCAGCGTTCCCTTCCCTCCCCTCCCATCCCTGACAACCAACAAAGAAAGTTTCCCTCCATATATAAACCTCTCCTTGACTCTCCACAACAACGAACTAATACTATATTTGTCCTTCTGTGATTGACTTATTTCACTCAGCATAATGTCCTCCAAGTTCATCCATATTATGCAGTGTTTTGCAGACTCTACATTATTCTTTAGTGCTGCGTAACATTCCATTATGTGTATGTACCATGGTTTGGTCATCCACTCTTCCACTGATGGGCACGTAGGTCGTTTCCATCTTTTTGCTATTGTAAATAGTGCTGTGATGAACATGAGCATGCACGTATCTGTTCCTATCCTGGCTCTCACCTTTCTAGGACATATACCTAGCAATGGGATTGCTGGGTCAAGTGATATCTCCAATTCCAACTTTCTAAGGAATCACCATATTGCTTTCCAGTGGTTGTGTCACTTCACAGTCACACAAGCAGTGTATGAGAGTCCCAATCTCTCCACATCCCCACCAGCATTTGTTATTATCTGCCTCACTGAACCCCGCCATCAATGCTGGGGTGTGACAGTATATCTCATTATTGTTTTGATACCTGTTTCTGATAGCCAATGATTGTGAGCATTTTTTCATGTATTAGCTGACCACCTGAATATCCTCTTTGTTGAAGTGTCTATTCACATCTTCTGCCCAATTTTCAATTGGATTGTTAATTCCTTTGGTGTCGAGGCATTGGAGTTTTCCATCAATCTTAGAGATAAGTCCCTTGCCAGATATATAACTATCAGCAAATATGAATTTGATGCTGTCATTTTTGTCCTGTGCTTTCTCCTTGTGTTGATTTCTTTGTTCCATATAATTTTCTATGCTGAGCTCGTTTTTTTATGAATCATGTTATCATTTCCTTCATTGCTATTGTTTTAGTATTTGCTGAATATTTATGCTGGTCCTCTTTTTTATTTTGATTTGAAGGTTTATCATTTTTCTTTGAGGTTACCCAGTGATTTATAGTTTTCTTCCCCTAGTGTAGAACAGGCCATTCTATCTTATAGTTGTCTTGACTTCCCTACCATCTAGAGGTTCTGTAATGACAGTTTTTTTTCCCTCTTTTTGGTTTGTAGTTGTCCTCATTTGTCGGTTGGTGTGCCTGGTGACCTGTTTACAATCTTGTAGGCTTATTTACTCTGGATACTTCCATAACTGGGTTGGTTTCTGGGTTATATCATCATGTGTGTTAATGGTCAGTTGCTGTCGGCTGTTGTTGCTTCTCTGTCCAAAGGACTCCCTTTAGCGTCTCTTGTAAGGTTGGTCTGGTTTTAACAAATTCCCTTAATTTCTGTTTATCTGGAAAAGTCCTAATTTTACCATAATATTTGAGGGACAATTTTGCTGGGTACATAATTCTTGGTTAGAAATTTTTCTCTTTCAGTGTTTTATATACACCATCCCACTGTCTTCTCACCTGCATGGATTCTGTTGAGAAATCCGAGCCTAGTCTTACTGGTTGCCCCTTGTAGGTAACCTTTCATTTTGCCCATGCTCCTCTCATGATTCTTTGTCTTTGGTTTTGGTGAGCTTGATGATGATATGTCTTGGTGTTTTTCTTTTGGGGTCTATCTTTTTTGGGGTTCGATGGACTTTCTGAATGTATATATTCTCATCTTTCATCATATCAGGGAAGTTCTACTCCAACAAATCTTGGACAATTTTCTCAGTGGTTACATTTTTCTCTTCCTGTTCTGGAATTCCAATGACACGTAGCTTATTCCTTTTGATGGTATTCCACATGAACCTTAGGCTTTCTTCATTTTATTTTGATCTTTTTTCTGACTGATTCCTTTCCAAAGAAGAATTCAGGTATCTGTCTTCAATCTCATTAGTTCTGTCTTCCATTGCATCAGTTCTACTCTTTTGCCCTTTCAATGTGTTACCTATTTGTGACAATTTAGCATTAATCTTCTGGATTTCTATCTGAAGATTTAGAATCATTTCTAATTTTTCATTGATTTTGTCATTTTGTTCTTGTCTCTTCTTCCAAAATTCTTTTAGGGTTTTGTCTGTGTTTTCCTTGGTCTATCTCTCAATCCTTTGAAGATACCTAAATATAATTCTTTTGAATTCCTTCAGGGAGTTCTAATGCTGCATCTTCCTCAGGGATGTGTTTTGGGTCTATATCCTGGTCCCTTGTTTCTCCTGCTTCTTTGTGTGTACTGTGATGCTCTGTTGTCTCTGAAGCATTGTGACGTTTTTGTGCTTATATTTAATTGGTGATTATATGTTGGAGTGACTGGCCCTCAATTTTCATTTTCTTTGTTTTGTTTGTAAGTTATTTATACAGGCAGGGTACTGTGCTGTGCTCCTCTATTCACTAGTTGACAGCACTTATACACTCACCACCTGTCTCCTTTCCTGTTGTCAACGTCTCATATGTCCTTGCCAACACTGGCAAACAGAGCCTATTCAAAGGTCCTGTTTTTGTTCAGGTTTTTCCACTGGTTTCTGCCTAATCCACTTCTTTAGAGTTCCTTTCAAAGCTCAGGGCTCCAGGATTCTCTTCTGTATCTCTGTCAATTGTTTTTTCTTTGTTGAAAAGGGTCTATGTTGCTTGTCTGCCTATTCCTCCATCTTACCAGAAGTCTCCAAGGATGTTATTTCTTAAGGTGAAGTTTATTTACTTTTTTTAAAAAAATTTTAATTCAATTTTTTATATAACAATCAAAAAGAACTACCAAAGCACTGAAGTAGAAGAAATAACTACAAAAGACAAAAGCAGCCAAGATTCAAGGCTAATCAAAGCTAGAAATGTCCAACTAAATCTTACCTGAGGTTTGGTCAACTCAATGGCAATATTTTGTACTTCTATATTCCAATCAAGTTTGGGTGTTTTGAGCTCTGTTTCTGCATAAGGATTCATATAGAGTTTTGCAGAAGCTGATATTGGCTGGAAAACTTAAATCACATGGGAAGACATAAGATAATGTTTAGATAATGTTTATATGTCCTTATATATGAACTCTTGTAAATCATTATGAGAACACTGTTACTCTGGAAGTAAAGAAAAATGATCGAAAATATATGTAACAAAGCTACTACCAAAAGACATTTAAACATCCACTCATCTACATAATGACAACTGTCAAACTCAATGGTTAAAGTGAGAGTTTGCAGGGAAGAACCTGGTGCCTTATTTATCTATTTAAGAAATACAGAAAACATATAAAAAGAATGTATTCTTCACTATCCAGAGTCTTAATAAAATTTGGTTTCTGTTCCTTGCTACAAGTAATTTAATAATTTTATTATTCATTTAAAGTACCAGTAAAAGGAAAAGAAACTAAATTTTATCAATATCTGTCCTATTTAATTACTGGCAGAACTTAGGAACAGAGTCATGAATAAAATTCCTATTATCTAGAAAATCACAATTTTCAATTTTCAAAATGATTTATCAATATATAATCTTACAATCAATTGAAGAAAATATTCTGTAAGTTGAATAGTAGTATGAAAAGGTTTATTATGAAACATAATAGGAAGGGCAAGTAAAATGATAAATTTTAACTGTGAATAGTATTAAAATTACCTAAATTGTGGTATCTTATGGCATTTATAATTCACGTAATATTATACAAAGTTTTAACTGACATACAGGTTATTTATAAGCAGAAAATGCTTGAACATGAAATTGTTGATGTTTCTGAATTAGTTCTTTCAAACAATGAAACTAAATGCTTCACAAACTAACAACACTAGAAATCTTTGTCATCATCAAATACAGGGGTCTACAGGGGAGCTCTGGTAGCATAGTGGCTAAGACACTTGCCTGCTCACCAGAAGGCTGGCGGTTCAAACCCACCAGCCACTCCTCGGAAGGAAGGTTGGGCAATCCTACTTCTGTAGTGATACTGCCTCGGAAACCCAAGGAGGGGTCGCTATGAGTCAGGGCTGACTCGACGGCACATAACAACAACAACAACAACAACAGAGTCCCTGAGTGGAGCAAACAGCTAGGCACTGGAAAAGTTGGGGACTGATATCTACCCTGAGCACCTAGGAGGAAAGGCCTGGTTATCTACTTCCAAAAAGTCACAGCCATTGAAAACTCTATGAAGTACAGTTCTACTCTGATGCATATGAAATTTTCATGAGTCAGAATCTATTCAAAGGCAACCGGTTTGGTTTGGGGTTTTTTTATGAACTGAAGAGAAAATGTCAGCCATCATCCAACGGCATTAACTATAAGAAAACAACAGTGAACCAGAGTAATACAGACTATGGAAGAAAGTGGACATGAAAGCTGGGAATGATTATAAAGAAGAAAGGTGTGTTAAATAAAAACAAACCAATAGTTTCTTTAGATTGGAAGTGAAATGAAGAAAACAGATGGGACAAAAAAAATACATAAGCAGATAGTTTTATTAGCAATCTATTAAAAAAAATAAAGGTGAGGTTGCCAAGAAGTTAAAACGCTCACTTAAGAAATCTTTAAAGTGGTGGGTTTCTCTTCCATTGCAACAATGACATGTAAACTCCAAACCAAACCAAACTCAGTGACGTCAAGTCGGAATTGACTCATGGACAACCCTCCTTGGTTTTCTGAGGCAGTATCACTATGGAAGTAGATTGCCCAATCTTCCTTCCATGGAATGGCTGGTGGATTTGAACCGCCAGGCTTCTAGTTAGCAGTCACATGCCTTAGGCACTATGCTGCCAGAGCATCCTAATGACCAAATATCAAGATCTCAGAAATTTAGTTACTTAAAAAAAAAAAAAAATCCAATTCCTAAGACAAATTAGACAATAATAAGGTAAGAAGAAAACATGGAGGCCAAGGAGGTGGGCTACTGGGAGTAAACCATAGCCACAGCCCATCTCTCTTTCTCATTCTCCAGCAATGTCCATGTTATAATTTAAACCTCCAATATGAGTTACTAACCAAATATGCTGTATCATAAAACTAAGGCATAAAATTAATACATTTCTTTTCTCTTTGTCAAAGTAACTTTATCAGAAAAATATATTAAAATAAGATATTTGATTCTGTACTTCCGGTAACACGAAATTAACTTTTATCATTACTTACTGTATTGATGGTTTGGGCGTCTATTGCTACTTGTAAGAATTTCACTTTTTAGCTGATCCTAAATAAAGAAAATTAAATGAGAAAGAAAAAGGAAATTCACACATAATCATCCCAAAAAAAAGGAAAAAAGAAAAAAAAAACTTTATAACTCTTTTTGTAACTAGCAGTCCAATAAGAAAAACATACTTAGGTAAATACAGATATATTTATGTATAATGAAGATATGAAAGCAATTTTCTGCCTCGGAAACCCAGGGAGGGGTCGCTATGAGTCGGATCTGACTCGATGGCAGTGAGGCTTTTTTTAAGAAACATTATAGCACCGTGTCCCCTCCCCTTTGCTATGGGAGAACAAAAAAAACATACACATAAACATATATGAACTGGTTATCTCAAACATATCATGTTGTTGTTATTTGCCATCAAGTCGGACCCGACTCATAGCAACCCCTCTTTGGGTTTCCGAGGCAGTATCACTATGGAAGTAGATTGCCCAATCTTCCTTCCGAGGAGTGGCTGGTGCGTTTGAACCACCATCCTACTGGTTAGCAGTCAAGTGCCTTAGGAACTACATTACCAGAGCTCCTCAAACATATCATAGTCAATAATTATTTGTTACGGTATCTTTTTGAGAGATAAGAGACAGAACCTCAGAATTAATCCAGACTAGAACATTAAACTTCTTTCTTTCTCCTCTAAATAAATAAACCTGGCTAAAATTGGCCAAACACATTGATGTCTTGAATTACTCTATCTCTATTCAGGAAATCATTATCACAAATGATTAAAACATTTGTCAAGGGTATATTCTTTAGATTTAAAAAGCATCATCTTTCTCTAGAAAACCAAGCAAACCAAACTCACTGCTGTCAAGTCAGATCCGACACACAGCAATCCCTCCTGGGGTTTCCAAGGCAGTATTACTATGGAAGTAGACTGCCCCAATCTTCCTTCTGAGGAGTGGCTGGTAGGTTTGAACTGCTAGCCTTCTGGTTAGCAGTCAAATGCCTTAGGCACTACACCACCAGAGCTCCTCTGCAATACTATTTTTATAAAATAATCACTGTCACATGAAATACACAATGTAACAAGAATGCCACTAAATGAGTGTAAAAAACCATAAACACAATTTTAATTTAATAGTACAGGCAATCTACTTCCGTAGCAATACTGCCTCAGAAACCCAAGGAGGGGTCTCTATGAGTCAGGTCCAACTCAATGGCATGGAACAACAACAACATTACTAATAGTATTCTCATACCATTGTCTAGAGAGTGATTTACCAAGGTCTTCAAAAACAAAAGTGCTTTTTCAAAAACAAAGAATTACAAGAAATGTGTTTCACACTTCTGATTTAGTTATATACAAGCTAAATGACTGCTACCTGTCCTTATTAAGGATTTTTCATGTTAAATAAATTTAAGGAGTAGGCCCTTCTATGTATAATCTGAAATTACCAAGATCTGTTCCCTTGATCTCTGGTAAGACATGCTGCAGTTTACATTCCAGTAGGCACTAAGACTATCAAGTCGTATAAGCTACAAAAAAGAAAGAAGAGGTCAAGCAACTAACACATTGAAATTATAAATCAATATTAAAAATTTATTCAAAATTATTTAACTGGTATTTTGAACTCTTAAAGTAAAAAAAATAATGGGAAAATACATTCATATTACACAATTCATTAAATCTGATATTTGCTAAACTGTTTCAAGGAACACTACGTTCAAAGGACTCATTCATCTAATTATCAAATACTTACTGACAATTCATATTTAACAGGTCCTGTAAATAACTTGCTTATTAATAAGAAAGACATGCTCCCTCCACCAGATATCAAGGACTGTTTCAGGCAAGGGAATGGGGTGCTCTCTGAGCAACAAGGTGGGAAAAGTATATATTACATGATATATCTCTCCTGGAGATTCAAAATCTTTATTAGCATATTTAAAGCATTATGAAGTCCTGTAGTTTAAAACAAAATGAAACATATTTGTTTAACTGTGCACAGCTTAGTACATTAGCCAATAATCTTACTTGAACAGAGACTATTTTTAATATGCCAGTCTAATATTTTCTTAATTACTAATGCTCCATAAAATCCCATTTTGGGATTATTTATCTAGTTTCTTTACTTGATAGGTAAAAAACTTAAAGCTAACAGCTTATGATAAGTGATTACAATAGGTCACACAACTAGTAAGTAGCAGAGTTGAAACTAGATCCTAGCTTTTAACTCACACCCTAATGACATGTTCTGCTACATCAGTTTGGCTTAAAAAAATGTACAAATATTTATATCTAAGAAACTAATAAGAAATTTTTATTGTAACAGAATATAATACCTTGTAAATAATTTTTTCTGCTTCATTTAATATGCATGGAGTCCAGTGTTCATTTGCAGTCTGAAAGGAAAAAGAGAGAATAATGCGGTCTTAATGTCACACAAGTGCGCCAATATCTATAAACCATAGTAAAGAAAATCTTAGAAAGAAGAGACGACTAGCTAATGTTGGCTAGTGTTAGTTGTTTCTTCACGTATTAATATAACAAAAGTGAAAGAACAGTGAAAATAGAATTGAGGAGGCTCTAATTTGACCCTGAGTTTATTCATCATTAATTCATTCACTCAGTCATAAAATAATCACTGACGTACTGTGTATGTGCACAATGGAAGGAATTAGGCATGAATAAAACAGCCAGTCAGCCTATAGCTATTGAAAAGGGTCCACACTTTAAAAAACAGTAAAATAGTTATTGTGAAATAGGAAGAAAATCAAGAGAGTATGGAAACCATAGCATGATAAACACCATGATAAACAATACCAAATACCACCACAAGATTAACTAAGCTAAAGTTATTTAGCAGCAAGAAAGTTACTGATGAACTTGTTAGAACTGTTAACAGTGAAGTAATATAGTCAAGAGTACAGTGGGTCGGCAGTCAGTGGGAAGTGGAATAGTAAAGGTAGAAAATTCTCTCAAAAATGTTTGGTTTGACATTGTTCCACCTCCTACTTTGGCAAGTAGCGACTGGGATCTTAAAAGCTTGAAATCCACCATCTAGATGCAACAATGGGTCTCTCCTCATCCAGAGCAAAGAAGAATGAAGAAAACCAAAAATTCATGGATACAATCAGTCTTAGCAACTGATATACCATCCAATCTACAGCCTATATGACTATGAGACCAGAAGAACTAGATGATGCCCGGCTACCAATGTCAATGACTTGGAAGAGGATCTATGTAGGAGATACTGGATAGAGAGGGAGAACAATGTGGACAAAACTCAAAATCATTTGGAGAAAAAAAAAAAGGGGGGGTGGGGGACCAGGTTTGCTAGTCCAATAGAGCCTGGTGGAACCACTGAGACTATGGCCCCTAGCCGCCCATCAGGTCTGGAATTGAACCCATACCTATGGCTTGCAGCCAAACAAAAGACAGGCATATGAGTTGAACATTTACCTGAGGTAGATACATTCCTTGGAGAGAACAATCATGGGATAGAAAAGGTCTGTTTATGCACAGGGAGACAGCTCAGGGGGCAGGAGTGCATGGAGGGATGGACACTGGGAAGGGGTGATTATGGGGAGGAAGTGGGAGGGGAGCTGTTGCATTGTGGTAAACTGTGGTCAATGTCATGAGACAAAGTGTATGTGAACTGCTGTATGGAAAGTGAATTTGCTCTGTAAATCTTCACCCAAATCACAATAAATAAATAAGGGAAAAAAATGTTTGGTTTGAAAGAGGAGGAGATAGACAAGGCAGTAGTTAGATGGGGCTCAGATGGAGTGGGAGGAAGGTTCCAGGGAGGTTTTTATTTTCTTGAAAAAAGAAACTTGAATGGTTTCAATGTTTACATGCAGTTGTTGTCAGAGCAACAGGAAAGAGGAAGGCATAGAGCAGTGGCAAGGAAGAAAAGTTAAAAGATTTAGAAAAGAGGGACACTGACAGAAGGAAAGGGAAGAGGGGAGGGAGAATGGTTCCTAAACATATGGGGAAGGATGGGATCCAGATAAGAAGTGGGGAGATAAAAGAATCATATTGTAAACAGAAAGATGGAGAAAGGAATGGAATGAATACAAGAAAAAGTAGGTTTGCCATTATAGTATAGTCACTATAGGGGCACTGTAGTGGGAACAGCAGAAAATAACTGAGCCTATTTCACTTAATCATCACAAATATACAAAAAGTATTATGATTCTTTTTATTTCTGTACAGTCAGTTGTAATGTCACCTTTCTAGTTTCTGATTTTAAATATGTGCATCTTCTCTCCTTATTAGTTTAGGTAGTGGTGAGTGAATCTTACTGATCTTTTAAAAAAAATTTCTCATTTCATCGATTCTATTATTTTTCCTATTCTCTGTTTCAATTATCTCTGCTCTGATGTACATTATTTCCCTCCTCCTGTAGCTTTGAGCTTGGTTGGCTCTTCTTTTTCTAGTTCCTTTAGTTGTAGAATTAGATTACTGATTCACAGTGACCAAAAGGTCAGCAGTTTGAACCCACTAGCCACTCCACAGGAGAAAGATGGCAGCAGTCTGCTTCTGTAAAGATTTACAGCTTTGGAAACCCTCTGGGGCACTTCTATAAAATAGACCTATGAGTCACTATGAGTCAAAATCAACTCAACAGCAGTGAGTTTTTTGGTCTTTTTAAGTGCAGGCATTTAATGCTATAAATTTCCCTCCAAGCACTGTCCTCACTGCATTCCCTAAGTTTTGGTATGATATACTTTCATTTTCATTCAACTCTAAGTATTTTCCCATTTTTCTTTTGATTTCCTCCTTGACCCATTGGTTATTTAATAGTGTTTAATAATGTGTTGCTTAATTTCCACATAAGTATGTGTTTTACAGTTTTCTTCTGTTGTTAATTTCTAATTTCATTCCACTGTTTGTTGAAGAAAATACTTTGCATGATTTCAGTTTTGAAACTGCATTGAGGCTTCTTTTACGACCTAATTAATATACAGTCTATCCTGAAGAATAGTCCATCTAGATCTTCTTTCTAGATGTTTGGTCCATTATTCTAAGTGGTATATTCAGGTCTCCACTATTATTGTAGAGCTATTTCTCCCTTCAATCCTGTCAGAGTTTGCTTTACATAGTTTGAGTCTCTGATGGTAAGTATACACACACACACACACAATTTGTAATTGCTACATTTTCTTGATTCACTGACCCTTTTATCATTATGTAATGTCCTTCTTTGTCTTTTGTAACAGATTTTTGCCTGATTTTAAAATTGCTGTGGCAGTTCACCTTTGGTTACTATTTGCCTGGGATATTTTTTACCACTCTTTCACTTTCAAACTATTTATATGCTTGAGTCTAAGATTTGTCTCTCATAGATAGTATATAGTTGGGTTTTGTTTTTTATCCATTCTGCCACTCTCTGCCTTTTCACTGGACCGTTTAGTCTATTTACATTCACAGCAATTACTAATAAAGACTTACTTTCCCATCTTGTTAGTTGGTTTTTGCATATTTTATGCCTTGGTTGAGTCCCTGGGTACACAAATAGTTAAGCACTCAGCCACTACTTGTCAAAAAAAAGTTCAAACCCACCCAGTAGTACCTTGGAAGACTAGCCAACACTATCTGCCAGGTCTGAAAGGTCATAGCCTTTAAAATCCTATGGAGTAATTCCACTCTGTACACATGGGGTCATTATGAGTCAAACTCAACTCAACAGCAGTGGGTAACATGCCTTCTTTTTCCCTCATGTCCTCCAATACTGTCAGTATTTGTGTTCTGTTGATTTTTTGTAGTGAACCATTTTAATTTCCTTCTCTTTTCCTTTTGTGTGTATTTTTTAGATATTTTCTGCCTCACAGTCAAATACCATGCTGACTTATGGCCACTATTCTTAGTCAAAGTTTTCTGGAACAATAATCTCTCTGCCCTTCAGAGCATAGATCATGGTTTCTTAAATAAGGTATTACTATATATTTATTTTCCACTCAAAGCAATTTCAAATTAATTTTTAAAACTTGCAGAGGATAAACAGTATATTAAATAAGCACTGGCCTCTCTGGCTCCCTTTCCTATGTTTCTCTAGCTCTCTCTTTTTCTTTATAGCTACTCTCTGCTTTGTTCTTCAACTCAATGTATGTCTCTACTTTCTGTATGCTCTATCATTCTTATGGCTTTCATGTAACTGAGTCTTCTTTCTGTGTCTCTGCTAATCTACCTCTCTTTCATATTCTACCCCCTTCCTTTACTACTTGGGCCCTCTCCATATAATCACAAAACAAACCTGTACCTGGTATGATTTATCATTCACTGTCCTGAATTTTAAAAATGTATAAATGAACTGCATCTTTTTCTCTGCCAAAAAGAACTAACTTTGGTATTTTTCTTAATCCTATGTCCCAAAAAATATGTTTCCTAATAAGAAAGTGTTCATAATAAGAAAAAAAAAATTCCTGACTGAATATACACAACTCTCTACCCATACAACACATTCATGCACATAAAACATAAACACATGTATAAGCTATTTGCAAATTCCATCTGCCTACACCAAGCATAAGTATACAACTCTATAGAAATCTATCTTCACCTATTTTCCCTAAATGTTTAAGATTAAGTTTTTAACTTTTTTCAAAATGTTTGATATTGATAATTTGGCATTTCTTAAATGCAAATAAATCAAAAGAATTAGAAAATATGACAACAACATCACTGAAATTTTTGAACTTCTAGAAACTGTAGCAAGACAATAAAATATATAATAGCTAATTTAGCTAATGTTAGGAAATTTACCCTATGACTTTGAAGTAACACATTCTAGGTTTCAAAGAAATTTGAAATAAGGCCAACATTACCAACAGACTAAGTTCCCCCATTGTGACACCAAATGAAAGAGGCCGCTTCGGATCAGTGACCTATCAAAGAAGAAAAGGTGATATTACAACATATTGACAATGGGAATTAATCCGTGTCCCAGTATCATGTTATTCTACAGGCAAGAATCACCATGTTTAAGAGTCCCAAAACTCAACAGGATTGTAGAAAGGAAAGGGGAAGAAGGCTATGGCTGGGATTATCCAGATTGTGTAAGTGTAACGGTACCTTACTACTATACCAATATGATCCTCTCCTAGAGGAAGTATTTTCTTTTTAGACATGAGAAGATTCAATAACTATGACTAAACGGACTCTTTTCTAGATAGTTGAAAAGGGACAGTCACTAGAGATATATCTTTAGAGATGTTCTTCAAAGATAATAAAACCATGTGTTACAGATAATAATACTGCCAAATAACAATGCCATTAAATCAGAGAAAACATTTAAGCTTCTCACACTTGGAATGTGAACTGTCTATTTAAGCCTTCATTTCCTTGATACTTCCAAAATGCTTTGTTAGAAAATATCTGGATTGTTAATATTTAATTTCCTCAATCTCTTCGCCTAAATATCCCTCAATGGTAAAATTCTTTTCTATTTTTATCTACAATGCCTACATTAATTTATACACAGTACTTATTTGTACCACAATGTATAGAGTGAAATTGTTTTAGACATCATAAAGATGTCTAAAAATAGCATTTTTGGTCATGATTGAAACTAGGAAAACCAGGGAGAGGAGGAAAACAGTAATGGTCTGAAATAATCCAACCTGGACTAAACAGTGTTCAAGATGAACACATCTCAAACAGGAAAAATACATACTGCTACAATTGAAAACCACAAATGACTTTACGAATCTCATTTTTAATCAATATCAGATATGTAATGATTCCACCACTCATCTGTCAGTTTGTTATACTATGGTGGCTTGCGTGTTGCTGTGAGGCTGGAGGCTATGCTGCCAGTATTTCAAACACCAGCAGGGTCACCCATGGTGGCGAGGTTTCAGCAAAGCTTCCAGACGAACACAGACTTGGAACAAGGAAGGGGCCATCTGCTTCTCAAAGAACTGGCCAAGTGAATAACTTATGAATACAGTGAAACACTATCTGATATACTACTGGAAAACTTTATGAATAGCCCTGAAACACTGTCCGATATAGTGCCAAAAGATGAGCTCCTCAGGTCAAAAGGCACTCAAAATACAACTAGAGAAGAGCTGCCTCCTCAGAGTAGAGCCAATCTTAATGATGTTGACCGAATAAAGCTTTCAGGACCTCCATGCTGATGTGGCACAACTCAAAATGGGAAGAAACAGCTGTAAACATCCAATAATAATCAGAACACGGAATGTATGAAGTATGAATCTAGGAAAATCGGAAGTTGTCAAAAATGAAATGGAATGCATAAAGGTCAATATGCTAGGCATTAGTTAGCTAAAATGGAATGGTTGTGGCCATTATGAATCAGAGAACCATATGATCTACTATTCCAGGAATAACAAATTGAAGAGGAATGGCATGGCATTCATCATCACAAAGAATGTTTTAAGATCTATCCTGAAGTACAATGCTGTCAGTGATAGGATAATATCCATACGCCTACATGGAAGACCAGTTACTGCTACTATTATTCAAATTTATGTACCAACCACCGAAGCCAAACACAAAGAAATTGAAGATTTTTACCAACTTCTGCAGTGTGAAATCGACCAAACACACAATCAAGATGTGTTGACTATCACTGGTGATTGAAATATGAAAGTTGGAAACAAAGAAGAATCATTGGTAGCTGGAAAATATGGCCTTGGTAACAGAAATAATACTGGAGATCACATGATAGAATATTGCAAGACCAATGACTTATTCATTAAAAATACTTTTTTTCAACAATACAAACAGTGGCTATACATGTGAACTTCGCAAGACAGAGCACATAGGAACCAGATTGACTACATCTGTGGCAACAGGCGATGGGGAATCTCAGTATCTTCAGACAAAACAAGGCCAGGAGCTGATTGTGGAACAGATCATCAGTTACTCATAAGCAAGTTCAAAGTGAAGCTGGAAACAATTCAAACCAATCCATGAGAGCCAAACTACAACTTTGATTATATCCATCCTGAATGTAGAGACTATTTAAAGAATAGATTTGATGCATTGAACAGTAATGATCGAAAACCAGAGGAATTGTGGGATGACATTAAGAACATCATCCTTGAAGAAAGCAAAAGGTCATTAAAAAGACAGGGAAGGACGAAAAGACCAAAATGGAGATCAGAAGAGACTCTAAAACTTGCCCTTGAGCAGAGAGTAACTAAAGCAAATGGAAGAAATAACAAGACAAAAGAGCTGAACAGAAGATTTCAAAAAGCAGCTCAGGAAGACAGAAAGTCAATTATTATAATGAAATGTGCAAAGACCTAGAATTAGAAAACCAAAAGGGAAGAACATGCTTGGCATTTCTCAAGCTGAAAGAACTGAAGAAAAAATTCAAGCTTCAAGTTGCAATATTGAAAGATTCTATGAGAAAAATATAGAATGATACAGGAAGCATCAAAAGAAGATGGAAGGAATACAGAGTCACTGTACCAAAAAGAAATGGTCAATGTTCATCCATTTCAGGAAGTGACATATGACCAAAAACCAATGGTACTGAAGAAAGAAGTTGAAGCTGCACTGAAGGAATTGGTGAAGAACAAGGCTCCAGGAATTGACGGAATACCCACTGAGATGTTTCAACAAATGGATGACACACTAGAGGCATCCTTGTCTGTGCCAAGAAATTTGGAAGCCAGCTACCTGGCCAATTGACTGGAAAAGATCCCTATCTGTATCCATTCCAAAGAAAGGTGATCCCACAGAATGTGAAAATTATCAAACAATATTACTAATATCACACGCAAGTAAAATCTTGCTGAAGATAATTCAAAAACAGTTGTAGCAGTATATTGACAGAGAACTTCAGGAAATGCAAACTGGATTCAGAAGAGGACACAGAACAAGGGATATCACTGCTGATGTCAGATGGATCTTGGCTGAAAGCAAAGAATACCAGAAAGATGTTTACCTGTGTTTTATTGACTATACAAAAGCATTGGATTGTGTGGATCCTAACAAATTATGGATAACATTGAGAAGATTAGGAATTCCAGAACACTTGATCGTGCTCATCAGGAGCCTGTACATAGACCAGGAGGCTGTTGTTCAAATAGAACAAGGCGATACTGCGTGGTTTAAAATCAAGAAAGGAGTGCATCAGGGCTGCATCCTTTCACCATACTCATTCAATCTGTATGATGATCAAATGATCCAAGAAGCTGGACTATATGAAGAAGAACATGGCATCAGAATTGCAGGAAGATTCATTAACAACCTGCGATACACAGACAACACAACTTTGCTTGCTGAAAGTGAGGATGACTTGAAGCATTTATTGACAAAGATTAAATAAAGACTTCAGTCTGCAGTATGGATTACACTTCAACATAAAGAAAATGAAAATCTTCACAACTGGTCCAATAAGCAGCATCATGATAAATGGAGAAAAGACAACTTGTTAAAGATTTCATATTACTTGGTTCTACAATCAACACCAAAGGAACCAGCAGTCAAGACATCAGATGACATATTGCACTGGGCAAATCTGCTGCCAAAGACCTCTTTCAAGTGCTGAAGAGCAAAGATGTCTCCTTGAAGACTACGGTGCACCTAACCCAAGCCAGGGTATTTTTCAATCATCTTTTATGAATGTGAGAGCTGGACAATGAATAAGGAAGACCGAAGAAGAGTTGATGTTTTTGAGTTGTGGTGCTGGAGAAGAATGCTAAGAGTACCATGGACTGCTAAAAGTACTAACAATTCTGTCCTGGAAGAAGCGCAACCTGAATGCTCCTTGGAAATGAGAATAGCCAGAATTCGTCTCACCCATTTTGGTCATGTTGTCAGAAGGGACCATTCCCCAGAGAAGGATATCCTGCCAGGTAAAACGGAGGGTCAGCGAAAATGGAGAAGGCCCTCAAGGAAATGGATTGACACAGGGGCTTTAACTATGGGCTCAGGTATAGCAAGGATTGTGGGGCTGGCACAGGACCAGACAGTGTTTCATTCTGTTGTATATAGGGTCACTATGAGTCGGAGCTGACTCAATGGCACCTACCTAACAACAACAACAACAACAAATAATGATTCATGAAAAAATGTTTTCCTTTATTCCTTTACTCATTTTTTTATAGCTGGTATCTGTTTTGGAAACAGGCTGAGAATAAACAGTGTATTAAATAAACACTAGCCTTTTTGGTTCCCTTTCCTCTGGTTTTCCAAGTTCTCTCTGCCTGTTTCAGAAGGAATTTAATTAAAACACAACTCCTCACGCACCCCAAACTATTGCCAACTTACTAGATCATAAAAGGCAAGATACAAATAAGATCCCTTTGTACTTTTCAATTATTTTCCTTTCAGAATATATTAATATATTTTGTCACTGGCATCAATTTACATACAACTGATATTATTTATCCAGCTCTTGTGTATCTCTGGTATTTTTTTTTCTTTTTTAATTGAAGGGACAGAAATAATGTATCTTTCTCATTATACTTGGTCAATAAAAACTTTTAAGTTCATACTGAGGTTCTCATTCATCAATACACCATTATGTAACATTATATAAACAATTATTCTTTCACTTCCATGATGTGTTAAGTACCTTTTCTTTTCCTAAGTTTGTTATACACAAAGATATTTATGAATTAGAATTTTAGACATTTATACATCAACAAAATTCTGTTTAATGACTCCACAGAGCCAAGAGATATAGTCAGTTCAAAATAGAGATAATTGCATATTGTCAAAAACTAGAAGTGTATTTTACTGGCAAGTAACCTGCACAAAAAATTTATCAGGAAAGGAAAAGAAACTATATGTCAGTGTTCTTCTAGTTCAATGCAAACTTAAAGTAATTTAAAAAAAAAAAAATTTGGCAGAGATGCAGTAATATTTCCAATTTTTTAAGTAAACTAAAAAATCAAGGTTGCTTATATATGTTTCAAACTTTAAAAGAAAGCAGTGCATATTAAACTCAAAATATTTGTTACATTTTAACAAAAATTAATCAGTAAAATAGTTCTTAATTAACTGATGTTAAACTTTTGGTTATAAATGAGATTTCGTTTCTAAATGTATTATTGTTCACATGTGTGAGAGGAGTGTGGGTGTTTAATTCAACTGGTGGAATGTAAAGAAAATGGACCAGCAGTCAAGTGACCTGTCTACTACCATTATCATTTGTTATTCAATCACTGCTCAGAATTAAGAACATTTTTAGTAAAAAGACAAAATTTGTTTCTTAAAGTTGTAACATTATGAGCTGTAAGGCAGTAAACAAACTGCAAAATAAGTAACAGAAGAGAATCCAAAAATCTCTTATATTAGCTTTAGAAAGGAGCATATGATCATTTTATGGTATATTTATGCACATAAATAATCAATGAAACTAGCCTAACACAGGAAAGGAAATATGGTGGTATACTCATGGGGCGGGGGGGGGGGGGGGGGGCGGGAATCAGTCTTAGATTCAAAATTGGCTACAAATAATCTATGTATAGAGAAATCACTAACATAATAAAACACACATGTAATTACTAAATTAGACAATATGCTAAAATTACTTACATCATCTTCATATTTAATATGAATGTCTGTGATTTTCACCTGCACATTTTTTATTACTTGAGTGGCCAATTTTTCCAAAAATGTATCTTTTTTGGCTTCTTTTGGCTTATCTATTAAAAAAAATAGAAAAATACAAGCTAAAGAACTGAAATTACTCATAACCAATGACCAAAGGATAGGTGAGGTACTACTCAGTGGAAATTAAAGCACATTCTAGAGTCCTTGGTTTATTTTAGATTTATATTTAATAAGCATTTCCAATGTAAAATGCATTTTTGAAGTAAGAGTATAATCTAATAATCATTTCACCTTCTAAGACAGAAAACTATTTGCAATGTGTATAAATAACACATGGCATAGAAAGCTACTTTTACCTACCTTTTGAGCGATCAAGACCTTTAAAAGGTTTCTTAAAATGTTTTTTGTGCTTTTTACGTTTACGTCCTTCTCAGTGGAAGCATTTTAGTGAGAAAAGGATAAAATTTAAGTTAGCAGACGAGAGAACAGAAAAGAAAACAAGAGAATTCTTCCTGACAGCAAATGTTTGTACAATTCACCTTATCTTATTTGAAACTGGCCTGTATTTCAATACACACACAAGTTCACAAACTTTGGTTATAAAACAGTTCTCTTCTTTAATCTAGAAAGTAACTTGGCAAGTGCAATTATACAAAAATTGGATGAAATATCCATACATACTGTCCTGTTTAATACTGATGACTTTTACAATATAAAGTTTCACTTTAATATTAATGTTACCAAAATATAGGAAATGTAGTAATGACAGAATATAAAACTTTAAGAGAAAAGTTTTAATAAATGTGTGGTGGGGACACAGGAAGACAAATGAAATGAATGAGTAGGATGCAGACAGATGACTCTCTCTCTCATAGGCAAAATTCTTTAGTTGCTTTATGGTATAAGGAATACAAAAAAATTGTACATTAAAATTAGCTTCAAAATCTCATAATCTTGTATTTGGCACCATCTCATCTCAAAGCATTAACCAACACCAGTCTTATTTAAGTTCCACATTTTCATATGCAACTGGCTACCATAGATCACCTCTAGTCTTAACTTTGAGACTCCGTATGGTCTCTCTGTCTCCAGTCTTTACCCTCATGTCCTTCTATACTGCTATCAGATTGATCTTTTCTGAATATCAATCAGATCCTTGTACCTTGTTCAAAGTTCTTTAAAGGCTCTCTACATTTTGCCAGATAAAATCAAAATGGGCTTGTATAACACAAAACATCCTCTTATGGTCTAAACCCTATCTCTCTGTCCCATTCTATCTCCTGCCACTCATGCTTGCAATGGGTATTACAGAAATGCTATTTATATAACTTCCCAAAATAAGCCATATTTCTAATGTGTAATGCCGCTACACCTGTTATTCCTGACCTTGGATTACTTTCCCCAAAGTTCTTTACCAGGCAAACTCCTAGGAGGCTTTCAAATCTTAGGTCCAGCACTACTGCCAGTGTGAAACCTTCCTCAACTCCCCTAAATAACTCAAGAGCCATCTACCTCCACATCTTACACAGATTTCCATTAAGCAATAATAACATTGTATTTGAAGTGTTTGCAATTGTCTTGCCACCAGGTGGGAGGTTTCATTAGAACAGGATTATCCTAATATCTGGACACAAAACACAATCTATTCAAATGAATAAAAAATTCCACATTTTGGGAGAATAATGTGGAATAAAACTCAAAATCATTTAAAAAAAAGGGGGGAGGGACCAGGTTTGCTGGTTTGATAGAGCCTGAAGGAAGCACTGAGACTATGGCCCGTAGGTGCCCTTCAGGTCTGGAATTGAACCCACTTCTGTGGCTTCCAGACAAACAGAAGACAGGAATATGAGGTGAACATTTACATTAGGTAGATACACTCCTTGGAGAGAACAATCATGGGAGAATAGAAGTCCTATGCACGTACAGGGAGACAGCTCAGGGGCCAGGAGTGCATGGGAGGGAAGGACACAAAGAAGAGGTACCTATGAGGAGCAAGTGGGAGGGGAGCTGTTGCACTGTGGTAAATTGTAGTCAATGTCACAAGACAAAGTGTATGTGAGCTACTGTATAGAAAGTAAATGTGCTCTGTAAACTTTCACCCAAATCACAATTAAAAAAAAAAAAAATTCCAC